AAGCCCAAGCACAGCCGGTACTAAGGCCGCAGCTTGTCACAGTTGAGCGGCATGCTGCTCAGCCAACTCGAGAGCAACCCGTACCGCACAACGTCGGCCACACTACTCAATCGGCCCGGCCGACTCTTGAGGGGCGTCCTCCTGATACCAAGGCGCTCGCAGACAGCGAATTGACTGTCCCGCCTCTGTTCTCGAAGCCTCAGCCAAAGACTACCGTCAGGACCGTTCCTGTAGATCAAGGTCCCGCTGCTCAGAACAAGTGGACGAAGAAAGCTGCTGTGGACTACTCTGGAGACGACTGGGGCGATGACCCATGGGACTATCAGTAGAATCGTGAATGAAGTTCAGCTATGCTATTATGAGTGGCCCATATCGGCTACCTACAGGAGTCTTCTCTGAGTGACAATATCTAGATGTAAGCAATCTGTACGTGTAGATACCACGTCGATTCGGGCTCAAGTAATGTATTTGTATCAACCCGTAAATACTGCCATCGTATTCATATGGAATACAAAGGAATCTCGCCATGAGCAGCAAAAGAAGCAGAGCCGGGCCCAAGTACACTAGTAGAGTATCTCCTTGTCTTGCAGACCTTGGATCTACCCGAGACTACCATCGGCAAAGGATAAATATCAAGGTAAGCTACGATGGGAGACTGAGCTCCGGCTGGCGCTTGTTCTACGACCGAGAGAATTTAAATTTCCGGCATGATTGGTAGAAGGAAATAGAGTGAAGATGCGGATGAAAATTTGCGAATTCTTACAATGCTTTGTTGGCTTTCACCAGTGATGCGATATTAACTGGTCAATGATAATGCGTCCTCAAAGACTTTGTCTTACTGTTTGAACTCCCTTTGTGGATGGAACGGTCGCCTTTATTCAATGACCAACAAGGTAGAGACCTCGACTATTGTGACATTGTCCAAGGTCGAGAACACAAACAGGTCTTTGTAATATCGATGACATTGTTCTGAAAATTGCTAGCTTTGAGTTCAACACTGTTGACTGACCCTCAAGCCTCCGTGCCCGTCATTGGGAGAATACTTATTTCGTCTTCATCCTTTCCAACGTCGATTGAAATACAACATCATCATTATCCCAGCACAGCCGATTACCGACAACTTAACAACAGACAAAGTTCAGTATACCCCAAATCCCAACAAACAACCTACCCACAAACTTGATATCTACTAAGTTGACTACAGCGATGGCGCCACCGTTCCTTAGCCGTCCCGAGATTCAACACCTCGTTTCAAACTTTTTGATCGACTTCTACAACCGCGAAGACGTCGAGAACTGGGAAGATGTACAAAGAGCGACTATCGACGCTATGGGAGATATTATCGTCCAAATTGCTCGGGGGCATGCGCAGGCGCAAGTAGAAGGTACACACCCCTCTCCGGACCCGATGGACTTGGACGATGGTGGTGCTGTACAACCCGAGGAACAAGATTCAGATGACACTTCGGACCCAGATGACTTTGTGAGAGACGACATTCCTCCCCAACCACCCAGGAAGAACTCCAGCTCCTCAGACTCGGACTTTGAGGGCTCTGGGAAGAAAAATCCCCGCAGCGGTAAAGGCTCAATCAAGACTAAAAATACTCCCCGGAAGGATACCAAGGTAAAGTCTAACCGTGTTGCAAGCCTCGAGGCACGCAAGACGAACCGATGTGTGCTGGGATGTGGCTTGGGCTATACGACGACGGATCGCCTCAAGAGAGTAAGTTGCTTTTCACTTCCCCTTTGAATTCCAACTCTTTGTGAGAACAAATCAGCTAACAGCATGGATAGCATTATAAATCTCACCACCCCGGTTGGGAGAACGCAGTTGTGACTGCTGGCCAGACCATTTTTGCCAATCAGCGCAGCTACACGAAGTGAGAAACATGAGAGGGGGCATGGATTTCCAATATGAGAGGTTTGTTGTCTGCATAGTTTTTGCTGATAAGAGTGCAGAAAGGGGGTTTTCAGTTTTTATCTGACTTTGACTTTCAATATTCGGGTTTCAGGTCTTGGGCGCTGATGTGAGGAGAAGGAGTGCGATATCAAGCAGAATAGTGTGAGTCAAAATTGAGTCAGGGGAGTTGAGCGGTTGATATGTCAAGAAACTCCATAAAGCTCGCCTTTCAATCCTAGTTCTTAACGTGCCTCGCGTAGATAAAAGATCGACGATCCGTCCGACTTTGTTTGCTATGTACTCTTCTGTTATCCCCGCCGGCACCCAGTGTTGCGGTTGCGCCAAGGCATGTCCCGCCGCAAGGGGGCTACCGCACCACTCAGGTGAGTGCGCGTAAATTATCCCTATCGTTGACAGCTTCCTAGACACATTCTAACTCTAGTAGACGCCTTCGACCAGGGCCAATGTGACAAGGTGATGTTGGACCATTCAGACGCCCGATAGCTACGGAGAATTTCATGGGTGACGGCGGCGTCTATTCGTCCACGCCATCCCACCGGCCCGTTGAAACAGACCGTCAAAGTTCAAGGGATGTCCCGTTAGCTTGCCTGATGACAGGACCACCGGTTCATCTTAGACTCGGGGGCTAATGGGCTTGGCCCACTTACAAACGTCAAGTCGGCGTTCGGCAGTCAAAGTCGATGTCGGACTCCTGCCGGCAGCATGGCGAAATATAAGGTGATGAGAACGCCGGCGCTACATGAGCTGTCACAGTCCAGTGCGTTATTCTTCCATCTTCCGCGGGTCGTAACAACTCAGTCCATTCTTTTTTTTCAGCACTTTGGCAAATCTGCCTTTCCGTTCCCTATTCCATTTCTCGCCCAACATGCGGTGCTCAACCTTCCTCGCTCTGGCTGCATCAGCCTCCGGCGCGTCCGCTCATTACTTCTTCCCCCACCTCATCGTCAACGGCAACTTCACCGGCTACAACGAATACGTCCGCGACAACAGCGCGGGCTACATGCCCTTCAAGAACGGCTACGACAGCACCGACCTCCGATGCCGTACCGGTTCCATGGAGCACGCCGCCACCACGGGCGTCTACAAAGTCAAGGCGGGCGACGAAGTGGGCTTCGGCCTCAACTTTGGCGGCACGATTCAGCACCCGGGTCCCATGCAGGCCTACCTCTCCAAAGCACCGGGTGATGTTCGCGAGTACGACGGTTCCGGTGACTGGTTCAAGATCTATGAGCTCGGGCCAAAGTCCTTCTCCAGCGAAGGGATCGAGTGGGGCGTCACCAACGTTGGCAACTTTACGTTCAAGTTGCCTGAGGAGACGCCCGCTGGGCAGTACCTCATGCGAATCGAGCACATCGGCGTTCATGGAGCTGGTGACTTTGGTGGTGCGGAGTTCTACTTCAACTGCGCCCAGATCGAAGTTGAGAGTGACAGTACCGCAGTCCCCGGGCCGACTGTCAAGATTCCGGGATTATACGACGGCCACGAGCCCGGTATCGAGTTCTACATGTACCGTCCGTGGATCGTCAACTTCACGATGCCGGGGCCGGCTAGATGGCCCCAAGCTCTTGTGGAGAACGTTACCGCAGAGGGTGTTAGCGTGGCTCCGACAATCACCCCTTGGACACTCCCGGCAGTCACGTCCACAGTTGGGGGACAGGACATTTCGTCCTCAGCGGCGGTAGTTGTGCCTACGACTCTTGCCTCCGCGGCAGTGCCTTCTGCCAACGCGACGTACTCGTACGCATCTACGACTGCGGCTGGCTTAAGTGGATCAGCGGCCCCGAAGAGCGAGATCAGCGAGTTGGTGGTGTCAACAGTCAGCTCAGCCGCGACTTTGAGTGCAACAGCTGTGCCTTTCACCACCACTTCCAAGAAGTCTCGATGCCCACCACGAAGCACAGTGATCAGCACGGTTTACGTTACTGCAAGTGCTTAAACCCAATCTCAGAGAGTTGAATATCTTCTTCCGCTCTTTATATCTGTGATGACACATGAGCCATGCGATGCTGGGAGTTGCAAAAGACAAAGTACCCTCTACAGCCTAGTTGCAGCGCTACCGGACGTAGACACTGGACGCCAATGATGTGCCTGGGCTCGCTGCAAAGGCCTTGAAGACCAAAGCTCGAAAATGGGCTAGAATTCGTTTCTTTTCCACTTCTGAATGTATTATTATACTTTTTTCCATCAAAAATCAAGCCCTTACTAAGATAACTAGATCCTACTGATAAGCAGTAGAACGACCCTACCTGGCATTTGTAATTTTAGTGACATATTGCAGAAGCCTCTCACATTATGAGGTACCTTAAGTAGTTAGCAAAGACGCATGGCCTCGTAACGCAACTTTCCAATACTTCTTTGGAAACCATCGACCTGCCATGCTTTTCGTAAATGTCGTGTTTCATCATCCTGTTGAGTGTCCTTTTTGTTCGTTGTATCTACGTCTCTCAAACGAATGTCTCCTGGGCCTCAAGTCTTGCAACACGTGAACATTCCTCTGCCGACCAGAATACGCCAGAAATAATCAACGCGACTGCCTAGCATACGTTGTCGCCCCTTTCTCATCCTTCATGACTCCTTATCCTGCCTCGGTATGACTTTCTCCACCAGTTTACAGGGAGTAAATTATTGAACCCTGGCTGTTGCGGGTTGGCTAATATATGTGTGTTAGGCAGCTTACTAACTGTTATCTCACACTCCTTGACATGATTGGTTTTCAACATCCTATGGCCTCAAGTCCTAAGAGACCTTGGTAAATCTATCTTTAGTCTTTGTTGACCTGTCACTTCATTTGTAAACTATTCATGGGTGAATATACGGAGGAAAGACTCGGATAAGCGTGAACTGCGATGACTACGGAAGACAACCCGACGATAACATAATAAAAATGGCTGGAATTTAATGAAAGTCTGCAACAAGGACTACTCATTGTTGACTAAGAATAGAACATCTGTCAAGCCACTGGAAGTCTCCCAATGCCAGTTTCGGGACCAAATATGGGCTGAGAAGGGTGATGTAAACTTTACGTCTGAATCAAGTTCTCAGCGCGTGCACCTTCGGACCGTTCTCTTCTTCTCAATCGCCTACACGGTTGCCTATACGGTTGACTGCGTGTTAGGATGCCGATCACGTCGGAGCGTTGGCGGACTTTGAGAAGAAAAGGTTCTATATATGCTTACTAAATTCAGACTGAGAACGGTCGACCCTTTCCTATGAGAATGCGTACAACATTAATAAAGTTGTAGCCCTTAAGTATTGTTAAGGAAATTGTTCAATCATGGGTTCCGTCGAGGAGCGGGAAGAAAACCCCAAGCGTGTCTGCGTCCCAGTCAAGGTTCAGCTCCATATCATCCATTTGTAAGTGTGTTTCGTCGAGTCCAACATGCAATGGTCCTTCTCCGAGCTTGCGGAATAACGAATCTAGCAGATTTGTTGCTCTTTTTGCTTCGGCGGACCACTTGCCCCAACGAGACCATGTTTGATAACTTCTTCTCAGCATCATCTCAACCTCTGGGCTCTTGGTTGCGCATCCGTTTTCACCATCTAGTGGAACGCGCGGACAATGGTACAGGTATATGCTCAAGGCCGCGGTTGCGACAAGACCCTCATGGATCACCAGGGCGGATACTTTGGTTCTCAATGTCACCAGCATGCCGCCCGGTTGCGATTCGATATCTAGAAAAACCAACTGCTTGATTATTTCAAGAGCTGCCTCAAGGCACAAATGGCCTGCAGACGACACCCAATCCTCGTGAACCGCCTTGGGTTTACTGGCAAACTTCCGTAGTTGACGCTGGTAAAGGATGATTCGAGACTTATTGTAAAGAGAAGTGATGATGATCCGATGGGCCAGACTAACCGAGTTATCTGACAGACAGTGGGATAGCGAGGTGAATTTGAAACTTTCTGGCATTGACACCCATGTTGTCTCGAGTCGACTTTCAGCATTTCGCACATCCTCTGAAGATTCTAGCTTGTTCGTCAAGCTCAGATCAACTAGCCTCCCCGTGGCAAGGCTCATTTTGTATCTCGCGAGTAGGAACGAGACTTCAGTCATCTCGTTGTCTGCGCGAGGCACTGCCAATTGGGCGCAGCCATGGTCGAGGTCAGCGTCGGGAATGTTACCAGGTGGTCGCGTGTTCCACGTGCCATCTGAGATGATCCGCGGCGCGCCGACGAGCATGGCCATGGTGCTGTCGAGAATGTGTACGGTAGCCCAAGCTCTGCGACGAATCTCGCCTTCAAAAGGGCTGATGTGCGGGAAGTGTGATGGATCCCGGTGGTATCCCATGCGGAATGCGAGCTGAGCTATGATGCCGGCCACCATCCAATTGCCAACCTCAGTGACGGGGTTGAGGTAGAACTCCACCAGGAAGTAATGAATGAGGCATTCCAGGATGTACGGTCCTCCACGAATGTAGTCCGCAGCAACAAGGCATCGAACCAATTGTTGCAGGTACGTCTGCCGTGGGTGAGACTGTCTATGTTCGGGTCCCAGGGAGAATAGGTCTGAAAGGCTCAGTACTCCGTAAAGGAGACCCAACCAAGAGAAGGAGACTGCAGCCTGACTGGTCCAAAATTCTTCGTACTGTAAGCACTCGTCAGTTTGAAAGTGCGCCTTCATTCACACGCCACAACAGATCACTGACTTGCTTAAGAAAAGTTGACGGATGTACCACGCGTGCTGTCAAGATATGAGCTCCTAGACAAAATTACACCCATCTTCCTAAGGCGGATTTCTTACCCGGCAGAATAGAGATTTCGCTGAAGTATTGAAAGATGAGACGATCTGCTATGTCCCGATCCGGCAAAGCCGAAATCAATGCCTCCTTCGATACTGGCTGCATGGATCCGTACAGTAGGAGTGGAGTGGTGCTCATGGCTCTAGACGACACGTCCGTAATTTCAACCAAATATTCTCCTTCGTAATCTTTTCTGAAGTCGTTTTTTAGATCAGAAATCTCGTTCATCAAGGTTTCCCAGTGCGGACTAGCAAAATACGTGGTCCCTTGTGAGTCGACATGCATCGTGCCTGGCTCAGTGGATGCCGCCGGCTGGGCCGGTGATGAGGTGTTGCACGGCGGAGCTGGGTCCTGAGCATCGTTATCTTGCTCTACAGTCTTAGATCTCATGTTTGAAAGTACTATATCTTCAATACGCTCGAGTCTGAGTTCAAGACTGGTATCAAGCTGTGGTTGGGTTCGCGGAGGGGCTGGAACCATCGGGCTTCTCGTATCACTTGGATACAAGCATGATGAGCCAATGCCCCGAACAGTGCATGCACCACACGGCTGGTGCCTGTCACATCGTAATCTTGGGTCGATTAGCAGCTGATGAGGAGAACGGAGAAATAAAGGCATCAGATGCCGTACTTTCTTTGTCGGCAGAAGCCGCACGATAGCTGCTTTTTGTCCCTTCGCCGATGCGATATCGGACTCGTCAGTGAGCCCGATGCCCTTGTGTCCTCTGCCGGAAAAATGAAAGACATTACTGAGGCTCTTTGAGTCACAGTCAACTGCTTTTGGCAGTCTGGTTTATGAAACAAACCAATTTGTGTCGTGGGAGGATTGCCGGCAAGGGAACATTTCCGATTGAGATCTGTTCCGTCACCTCCGTCCAATGTCCGCTTCTTCCCTCCACGTGGAGGCCCGTGCCCCTCGTAAAGAAGAGAGAAGTCTAATTACAGTGGGGACTTATAAGCTCCATATATATAGTATATTATAGCCGTTGCGGACTACGGAGCGGGCCCTTATCCTGGCCGTGTATGTTTAGTCGTAATATTTAACTGAACGCCGAATAGAGAAAGATAATACAGTGGGCAATTGATAGAAATGTCAATGGAACGGTGGGTGCTCCCACGTTTAATGTTTTCAGAAATGTATGAGGTTCAGTTTATGTACAACTTATAAGTGAGTAGGTCTCATTATTGCACCCGCGGAAGTAGATAGTCAAAGATCGCCTGGTTGAGCCTAGTGAGGGACCCCATATGGCAGTGCGAGGTTGCCCCCTCTTCCGCCGTAAACTGCTCAAATTCTTTCTCGCCGCGCAACTTGCCAAACAAGGCTTTTGGCTGTCCTTTCAAGAAATGATCTTCAATCGCATCCAGAACTAGTAATGGAGTATGGATGTTGTCCACGAGCCCCTCCAGACTATACTCACTCACACAGCGCAGCACCTCTACTGGACACTTAGCGCCGAAAGCCCACATTCCATTCAAAATCGCCCATTTGAAGCCCGTATCCCAGCGCATCATCTGGAACATTAGAGCATTCATCGTAGCGTCCCAGCCATTGCGTAGCAGGAATCTGCCAAGGCCAGGGTTCTGGGAATGAAATGCAGCGCCAAAGTCGTAAACCCCGTCGTTGACGATAGCGGCCGCGCATCGATGCTCGAAACATAGAGCTCTTCCGACAAGGTAGCCACCCATACTGATGCCCATAAGGAACACCTTGTTTGCGATGACTGTGGGCTGACCAAGAGCATAGTCGACAACCGCAGTGATTACAGTCTCCCAGTCGTTTCTGAAAACGAGGCGCTGCTTTCTCAGAGCTTCGCCTTGTCCCGGACCATCGAAGAGAATAACGTTGAAGCCTTCTTCAAGTGCCGCCTGGCCATTCATGTAGAATATCTCTTCCTTGGTGGAGTCAAAGCCACCATTAAAAATGATCGTGGGCCTCGGTTTGTCGCTTTTGTCAGGCTGCATCATCGTTCCCGGAAGAGTAGTCCCTTCAAAGAGGATTTGGATCCTTTTGGTCTTGTATGGCATGAGATCGGCTGCAGAATAAAATGTCTCGGTACTTAAACCGATGAGCTTCTTGGAAAGGTCGTCTTCGAAAACGTTGTCTCGCCGGTAAAATTCGGCCGTGCGGTAATAATTCGAAGCGCGTAAAAAGGCATGCTGCGCACCACGTCGATTGTTCTTCGCCAAGCTCGCTTTCGCGGCTTGGACGGCGCGGTCTCCAGCCAATTGCCATTCTCTGAGCCAGATTTTTTCGTCGCCGGGGGGAATGCGAGAGCACACTGAGATGACTTCGGCTAGCTCTGCCCCACCACAGTGTGTGTAGCTGGCGGCTCGAAGAGCTTCATAGGCGAAAGACTCATTGTCGGGGAAAAAGTGCTTATGGAGAGTTGCCATTGAGACCAGTGATAAACCATGAGGTTTGTGTTGCTAGTGGCATATTCCTTACTTCATTTCTTCTAATTTCCAAGCCTTTCGTCAAGAGCACTTTTATAGCACTTTTCGCAATCTATCAAGTGGCTGGTCCAAGGTCTGGTTGGTGTGATGCCCGTTACATCTCCGTCGCAATTCCCGGTGTTACCTCCGTCTCCGCCTCCGCTTTAGTGCCTCCGTTGCCGGCCATTGCGTATGAGAACCGACACCGATCTAGGGTGACATACATGACGTAGCTTAGTAATTCAATATTGTAACTGGCGGAAATATGCCCGGAGCAACGGAGTAACGATTGAGTAGCTGCGAACTCATATCTTGAGAAGATTGCGGCACACTGCCGCGTTGCAACTCAGTAAGCTGCGCACTCTCACAGTTCAATCGCTGAGAAGTTTACGAAAGCCGTCGCGAACTCTAGATACAGTTCCTATACGAAGTATATGGAAAACCCTGCTTCATCACCTTAAGCCAAGATTATGACACGCGCCGAAGGTCAATTTCTGGTAGATTGGGATGGTGGCGATAACGATCCGCTATGTCCAAGAAGCTACGGCAAGATGAGAAAATGGCTAATCACCATGGTAGTTTCACAAATGGCGCTCTGCATGTAAGATCTATGGTCACTAGGAGTCCTAGGGGTCTGTGTCACTGCTAACACTTTACACCTGCAAAGCACATGTGCGAGTTCTATTTACACTTCAACATACACCAACTTGGAGGCCGAATTTCACAACTCAAGGATCATATCGACTCTCGGGCTATCAACTTTTGTTCTCGGTTTGTCGCTAGGGCCGATGCTATTCAGTCCTCTTAGCGAGTTTTATGGGCGGAGGCCGATCTACTTGATCTCGTCCACTTGCCACCTCCTTTTTCTGATCCCCCAAGCGACAGCAAGAAACATCACTACATTAGTTGTCCTTCGCTTCTTGGACGGTTTCTCAGGGAGTGCTTTCCAAGCTGTATCCGCTGGAACCGTCCGAGATTTGTTTTCAAACGACGAATTACAAGCGCCCATGCTGCTGTTTTCCATATGTCCGTTCATTGGACCAAGCCTAGGACCCTTAGTCGGCGGATTCATCAACTATTATACCGGGTGGCGCTGGACGTTCTACGTCCTCATAATGTGGTCTTTTGTACTAGAGCTGGGAATTGTCTTTCTTGTCCCCGAAACTTATCGTAAGCTTGATGACCCCCATCCAAGAACTCGCAACTGACATGGCTTATCAGATCCCATTCTCTTACGGAACAAGGCTCGCAATCTTCGGAAAGAAACCGAGGATGATCGTTGGAAAGCAGCTTCGGAGATGCATTCCAAATCTGTGCTCGGTGCAGTTGGAATATCATTACTGCGGCCCATTCAGCTCCTCATTTTTGAGCCAATGTGTCTCTCTCTTTGCCTCTTCTCGGCTTTGCTACTTGGCATACTATACTTATTCTTTGGAGCTTTCCCTCTTGTTTTTAGAGAGACTTATGGCTTCAATCTCTATCAAATTGGCTGTAGCTTTCTGGGGATCTTGGTTGGTATGCTGCTGGGTATTGCCACAGATCCGATATGGCATAAAGTCAGGATAAGACTCATTTTGAAGAACAAGGGCCAAGGCGAAAATAGAGATGGCAGCGAGCCTGAGTTCCGACTTCCACCCGCTATGTTCGGGTCTATTCTTGTTCCGGTGGGAATTTTCATGTTTGGTTGGTCCATGTACCCTTGGGTGCATTGGATAGTTCCCATCGTTGGTACAGCCATGTTCGGGGCTGGGTAAGTCTTATTGAGCTTTGACATAGACATGCAATCGTTAGCGCCCTCTCAACAGTAGTTTGGACTGACACAATGTTCTTCTCAACAGAAACATCCTTCTTTTCACTGGTATCTGGACCTTTCTGGTGCGTAGCCCATCCCAAGAAGAATTACCAAGGCATAGAAAGTCACTAACAAAGAACAGGTTGAAGCTTATCCCAGGTATGCTGCCAGTGCGCTAGCTGCTAATTCTTTTGTCCGTTGCCTGGCGGCTGGTAAGTGTCCCCTGACGAGTTGCAGAGTCTTCGTACATAATTGACTGAGTCCTTCATAGCTGCATTTCCGCTTTTTGGAAATCAGATGTACGTGAGGCTCGGGTTTCAATGGGCCTCATCACTTTTAGGCTTCTTGTCTATTGGAATGATGGTCTTTCCTTACCTATTCTTCAAATATGGAAAGCTTATTCGTGGCAAGAGTAAGTTTGCCAATGCGTCGGTCTCTCTGTAAAATCTCTGTATGAAGTTGTCAAGCATTTTCACAATTCCACGATATGGACCTGTAAGTATAGACATCTAGACTATTGAGTCAAGGCCATAAGAGGGCAGTGGGGAAGGTTCATGTTTCATAAGCTCTGAGCGATGATTAGTCTAACGGGAATGAGAGAAATTTAAGGCTCAAAATACGTTGTATTCATCGATACTTCCGCCTGGTGTCTTCTCTAAGTGTACCATGTCGGCTCGGGAATTTCGCCCAGCAGCTGATATCTACCGAGCTCACGATTCTTGTAAGACACAGGATCATGCAGACTGTGTGTCCTGATATCCCTCCAGAATCTGTCTAGGCCAACCTTAGTTCCGGTGGCTTTCGCGCCCGTCACCTCGAACACACCGGACGTAACCCGAAGTCCCGTGTCAGTTGCCGTGACCTTGACACTAGCAACCCACTCCGCTGCTTCTCCTCGGGCCTTTGCAGTGACCTTGGCCCTAGTCGATGGATCTCCAGAGTACTTGTACAATGCATCAATCTCGAGACCCGCCTTGTCGGCAAGTGCATCGGCTGCACGGAGGTGAGCTAGGAAGTTTCCGTAGGTGGACAGGATATAAAACTCATCCTCGGCCTTCTCCTTGTTCTGAAGTTCGCTGTGAGCATTTTATGGGTATAATTGATTGGAGCTGTTCTAGCACTTACATCACCGCCGAAGGGCCAGGCCCGCGTGTTTTTTCTAGTGTAGGCTGAGGCAAAATCCAACGCACCCCATGCAATACCGATGTAGAAGTTGCTGAAAACGAGTTGAATCCTGTTCCTAAAAGTCAGATTTTGCTATCAAAGTGTTGAGATTTGGATTCTTACGTGGGAAGAAGCAGACTTGCAAACGGGATTTTGAGAATCGAGTCATCTGGCTTTTTCTCGGCGGCATTCCATCCTAGTGCATCAGACCAGGGCGCAGTGACGTTCTCAATCTTGACGCTTCCCGACTCACTCAGACGCAAGCCAACATTATCCCAGTTGTGAGAAAAGATAATTCCCGGCTGGTCAGTCTTCACCAACGCATACAGGTGGTCATCCGTACCCTCAAGTACACCTTCGAGAACAGTCAAGTCGGAGATAACTCCACCGGTGTTGAAGTTCTTGAAGCCATTGAAGATGACGTTGTCGCCGTCTGAAGTGATCTTGTGATCGCTGTCGCGAGGGTTTACGGCACCACCAACAAAGTAGTTGTTGGAAATGATGAGATCCTGAGTGCGGTCTGCCTGCTCAGAGCTGCCAATGACGTTGGCCGTCGTTGACCAGAGCAAATGGTATCCCAGAAGCATGCCAATTGATCTATTCTAGTACATTAGAAATTTAACTCGCAAAAGTACTCAATCTTCGGTCAAACTCACCCGTCTCCCTTGGCAACCTCGCGAATCACCTTGTAGCCGACGCTCCACGGCTGCTCACCACCGCCATACTTTTTCCATCCCAGGACTTTGAGAAGACCAGAATGCTTCAGCAGCGCAATCTCAGCTCTAGGTGACTTATTCTCCCTCTCACGCTGCGCGGCATCTACGGCTAGCACATCTGCAACGTCTTTGGCTCGCTGAAGCCACGCTGCTTCGTCCGCAGGAAGTGACGACCACTTCTGCTGGTACTCGTCGTAGACTTTGGGGTTGGTTGCAGGAACCGAACGAGCGTTGCTACTCATTTTGTACGACCTTTGAGATTAGATTCTTGGGTTCTCCGAAGGAATGGCTGTCTTGTCGCATGAATTTGGGGAGGAATAAAAGCGAGTAGAAATCCGCAACAGGCGGGAAACGGTTGACTGACGTGTAAGAGAACTGGATGAAGATTGTCTCCCTTCTATCTCTGATGTCAAATTGCGCCAACATGTATCTAAATATGCTCAAACACGCCCGCCCGTGCCGCCTCCGTAGCCTAACGGTTCAGCGATAGCCAGCACTCCGTTCCGCCGTCGCCAGTGGCGCGAGGGTCCACAGCTATGTTGTCATATGTCGCAATCGCAACGACTTAGGATGCGCGCGTGGGTGTACTTCGCACCTCCGCGTCTGGCCCCCAACCCCATACCGACAGGTAATGAGGCATGCAGGGATAAGGTCACATTGGAGCTTAACTACCTTTGTCCAGGGACAATCGCCTGTTCAGAAGACTTTCGTGATCGGGCAGATATTCTATCTGATGTTGAAAGTATCATTGTTTCGGCAGCTGCTCTGACTTGTCGCAGAGAGTTCTCGAAAGAGGGGTCTGCGAGCACCAGGATGGCACCATATACGCTATTCTGCAGCAATCGCGGCATATCTTTGCAGTGCACCAATCAGGCTTCATTGTACAAGAATTTTATTCAATTGAGTTTCTGACTATGGGCTGCTCTGAAACCCCGAGGTTAGTCGTCAATCTTTGTCACCTGTAACATCAATCCAGCCGGCCAAGGAAGATGGATGACAGGAGATGTCATGTCCCGTTATTTTGATTTCCTCTCCCGCCAAATCGACTCTCTGCGATCTAAGGACTTAAATGAATATAAACAGCTGACACCTAGATTGGACCGTAGGAACAATGTTAATTCCTAGAGGAGAGACACAAATTTTGCAATTAGATAACGTCTGGTATCTACATTTTGACCATATGACTAGAGACTACCACTTCGATACAAATGCCCAATTCATCAGGTCTATCAATAAATTGCACTGTTGCCTCAATCTGGCAAGCTACTCGGTCTTCTTCCGAGTCTTGGGGAAATACTGAGAAGTATCACCCAATGGTAACTCTACCAAAGAGTCCTTTAGCAAGAGGTGGAAAGTCAGATACCTGGGTTGTGTTAGTTGAGCAAAATTGTTCTCTGCAACAGCTAGAAACCTACCATCCAACAAGCCCAGCGAGGAACGCGAAAACGCCACCACTCTTCTTCAATCCAACCGATGCGCTATCATGACCATCGGCAGCAGCAAAGTAGCTAGCAGCAACCAGTACGAAGCATAACTCAACGAAGATGAAGATCAGGATGTAAACGATATTTGTCGGTATGGTGGCGACTAGGTAGGCGAGAACGAAGACACTCCAAACTGCGCGAGAGTCATTGCGTTAGTCTTAATTTTTGACTGCAACGATTGATAACATCACTCACTGATCATGAAAAGTCCGAGAGCATTGTTCAACTGCTGGGTATCATCGCCATATGCTGCTGAAACCCCAAAAGAGGGAGTTAATATGGCACCGTAACCTGCGTAAAAGAGGCCTGTACGCTGATTGTCAGTCGAGGAGGCGTTGAAAGCCATCTCATTCGAGCTTACCGAAAGCACTGAAGACACTGTAACCAAAGCCGTTTCCTCCCGTAAGCTCCCACTGCGCAGATATTACTAGGCCAAAGGCAGCCAGAAAGAAAAAGTTTGCGATATAGACGTTAGTTGTTGTCACTCCTCGCCACTCCATTAAACTCAGGGAAAGCGTCGTCAAGGTTGTAGAGAAAGCTCCGATCGGAAGTGAGGTCTGTAGGCTTTTTGATCAGTCAACATGTTTGGAAGAATCGCAAATTCGCGAAAAGGGGTACTCACCGCTGCTGTAGGAAGCGGTCTTGGTGCAGTGAATCGAGGCCCATGGTTAAGCGTCTCGAATCTCTCCAAGGTAGGCTCTGGCTTGACAGACTCGACCCCTTTCTCGCTTGCCCCATTGGGGGGTGAAGAGTAAATGGACATTGTAGTTGGAGTAGGACAACAGACGAGAGAAATTGAAAGAAGGAAGACAACAAGGAGAGTTGCAGGCGCAGGTCTGTCTTTCGGATCCTTCAGCAGATGAATCAAACAGAACTTAGTTATGAACCCGACGACATGGCCCTGGTCTCAGTGAGTTTTCCGAAAATTTGCTCTATCCTTGCTCATTGCAATGAGACCTTGGAAAGCTCAGACTCGTCTCAATGAATTGATTGAGATTAAAGTTCGCAGACCTTGGTTCAATCCCACATCGCGCCATGTTGGGGTGGATGCAGCCATCGAAGCGTGGGGAAACCCCAGTCAACTGGGATCTGGCGATCTCGCCATTGAGTCGATAATGGTGCAATTGCTGCACTTGGAGAGGACGGGTGAGCGGCAAGGCACATAGCCTTTCCCCTCAGCACCACATGCCTCTTCAAGTGCCGTGACTGGCTCCGATCGTATCAATTTAAATTCCGGCATGCGTCGTAATGTGGTATTTGGAAATCACGTTAGAGCTAGGCATAGGTTCGCCAATATCGTCAATTCGACGGAACTTCCTCCGCAATGTCGATCTGGATATATCGCGCAGAACGCGCCAGCATAGCTGCATCCTAGTAGATGCAGAATGATGGTTTGATATCTGCTGGTCACATCTCCTCTTCTGTCATTGTTGCTATGTCACCGTCCTTGATGATAGGATTTGAGAACCTGCCACTCTTCCGTTCCCCGTCTCCAAAGTGTGCTTGGTCAACATCGTTCAAACTCAATCTACTTCAGTGTTACCAGGTCAAAGTGAAAAGGGACTTGATCGCTTCTTGCAATCACAATTGACGTGCAAAATTGGCAGCCACAGACCCTACGGTTTTCACATCGTCGCAGCGAAAATGACCGCTCAACCACATCCCCTCAATAGCGACCCTGAACGACTGCTTTTCGCGTAGGTCTCCCCTCCTCAAAGGTTGCAGACAAATAGCTAACTTGACAGATACTGGGTACCCAATGTCTCGGGTGGCTTGATAATCAGCAAGATCCCGCAGAGGACAAACTGGGACCTAGCTAGCAACGTCAAATACGCCAAGGCTGCGGAGCAAGCTGGTATCGAGTACGGCCTCACGCAGATTCGCTTCACGTCTGGATACGGTGCTGCAAACCAACATGAGTCTGTGTCCTTCTCTCAGGCAATTCTCCAAGCCACAGACACAGTGAAGATCATTGCTGCTATTCTCCCTGGGCCCTGGAATCCCACGACGGTGGCGAAGCAGATCGCCAGCATCGACCACTACAGCAATGGCCGCATTGCCGTTAACATCGTGAGCGGTT